CATTCATGCACAGCATGGGTTGATAAATTTTGCTACCTGACCAAAAACCACCCGGAGAAGGCCAACGGGCGTTTAAAGAGGTGCGCGCATCACGCCGATAGCCTGGAGCACGCAATCCAGAAGGCCTCTTGGCACAGCGAGTGGCGCGTGCTCGGGTATAAGATGCACACCAGTTAATACTCTGACAGCCAATAAATTCGTGAGTGAGGTGACGTACGCTGCCAATCAAGTTATCAGGCATGTTGGAACTTTCACGCAAAATCTGGTATGCCATCAGACAGATCGCTTCAAGGAGGGAAACCCGCTGTTAGTAACAGCCACTTTGTGGTTCGAACCCCGAAATCTTTTCAGGCGGTCAGAAACTCGGCCGGAACCTGCGTGTGTGCCTTTTGCCAATTTATGAGGCTAGCCTGTGTACACCACTCGTTCCCACGCAGCAAGTTGATCAATCAAACGTATGGTGCCTAGAGCAATTTCCATTCCATCAACAGTTGCTTGCCGAATACAACCTACCGTGAGGTACACCTCTATGTCTGAATTCAAAGCCACACCCATCACAACTAAAAGGTTTGTGATTAAAACGATTGGTTTAAAAAAGTGAATCTGCCGGAACCACGTAAACCCGCTAGATGTCCAAACGCAGCTGGTGTCGCGTCAAAATCCCACAAGCGCACAGAAAAGTCAGCTGCCGGTGCTGGAGGACAACCGTACTTAATCAGGGGGGTGTTCTGCATCAAAGGAAGCCGTTGATTGTGGTCTCTGTGGCCAGCTAATCGACCCTACTTATAATCTCGTCCGCTATATTGACTACCACATCATGTTTGCTGAGGCAACGACCATTGCGCACTTCGTAGGGAAAATCTTCAGGTGCGTCCACCAGGTGAATGCACACGTGTCGATTAAACTATACCCTTTAGTTCCTGGTCCGGTGCGCAAACAGCCTTCAGTCTATGTAGTAGTTAGCTAAAACAGCTTACTTTGATGTCGATCTCGATCGGTCCATGGAGGCCAAGCCAATCGCGTCTCGTAAGGCAGTTGCATTAAAACTATTCTGCCTTAATTCGAAGGAGATGGAGACAAGTAATTTCAGACCTAATTACAAGCCGAAGTCCTGTAGACCTTTCATAAAATGCCGGGATGATGAGGGTTTTGTCTGAATGATCGCGCAGTAACCACAAAGGCCCATTTAGGACTACGTTCAGGTGTTACTCAAACCCCAAAAGTAAGACGGCTTGCATAACAGCCCCGTTTACCCTTCTTCAGCCTCATATTGCGTTGCGGCAAATGCTGTGTCAATGAACCTGGGCAATCCTCGCTGAGTAGATAATGGTCCCTCATCCCAGACAATTAGAATAATGAAGCACTGAGTATGTAAGCAAATAAAATTTCGTTACAATAGGGTGCTTAAATGCTGTTACCGAAGAATGATTGGTCGTGCATTTTCCGTTTCAAAATCCTCATTCCGTGAAGTTGATCTTCGGAAAATGAAAACTGGAGCTGTAAGATCCGGAAGGTTAAGGATCTCACTAAGCATCATGAATTAGGAAAACGTACAATCAACAATGACGCAATCTGCAGGAGCGGGAAGTAGTCATTGTCACAGCACAGAGTTCTATAGGGGCAACAAGAAGTAAGTACTAAACGATGTACAAACATACATGTCGGGGCAGTCTGACAGTGTGAGTTGGCCGTAACGACGCAGGAATCAGTACGTTCGGGATGTGAGGGACTGTCTTTCGGTCGGCGTCGACCCAGCCGCTCGTGTCGCGCGACGGGTCAGATTGCGCGGTTTCGTCCGTTTAAAACAAAGCTCAATGAGGGCTATCTGCCAGGTGCGATACATGGGTAATACAAAATAATCAGCCACACTGGGTGTCCGGTTAGTGTAGTCGGTGACACGTTCGCCTGCTGTCCGCAGACCCTGGGTTCGATACCCGGTCGGCGCGCTTTTCGGTCGGAGTGGACGCTCATGAATAGGTGCAATCCAGACAAACTTGCAAGCAATGACGGACGGGCAAATTAAGTATTGACATCAGTTACTGAGGAAAAAGCAGACCTTAAGCCGAGACGAAACAGGGGGAAAACGAGCAAAGAAACGAAACGGTGTCATAATAAACAGATGCGAGTCACGTTACCCATTAGTAGTTAGAAAACAAGTGAAGTTACCGCTGGTCACCGTTGATTCGCAGGCGGAATCAACACTCCCCAAGCCATTAATTTACGTGGAGACTGAGCCAGCAGACTGATCAGTCACTCTGTCTGTCCGCTCCTCGCAGTATGCAACATCTTGGCCGGAGGCCTCCAGTGGGATGAGTTGGGGAACGTCTCGAAGTAATGTCCCCCGACCGGTTCTTACGATAACTTCCCTGACTGCCCCATCAGTCGACTGAACTGCTCTTNTCACCGTTGATTCGCGGGCGGAATCAACAGGATCGATCACCAACTAAGCTTGTATCCGCGATGCCGACAAGCTGATAGGCAATTCGCTGACGGCGTTTCCGGGAATTTATGGCGGGCTCATTATCAACCGGTATAGTTTTGTGTATGGTTACTGTGCATAGGTGAGGCCTCACAATCGGTGTCGCCCATAACATTTACGATTGGTAGTCGAGTTGAGTGACAGCGGCCGACCTTATCGTTCCACATACGGAGCATCATATCCTTAGTATGAGTTTGCTGCGAGTTGTAGGTAATAGAACGTGTAGGCGGAATGACACAGTCGAGAGTGGGATGTGAATAGTTGCGGGTTTCCTATCAAACTGGGTATGACAGTTCCGTGCCAACACCGCACTGACATACTTCGATTTCTGGACAGCCCTGTAGTGGACTTCATGTTTGAGGTAATTGGGCTGGGACATGCTAGTCTGTGAGCTGTGTTGTTTTTGGGTTAGTCAGTGGGATTCTCAGAGGAAGAACGACGCCGATGCAAGACACCAAGTACCTTTATGCCCTCGTTGGTGACCTGTATGGATACAGACCACAAGCCACGTGGAGTGGATAACAGTCAAACAAGATGATGAGATATAGTGCATGAACACTAAGAGAAAACTTGAAGTTTGCCGCAATTAGGTTAGTGACAACAAGTGGTTAAATGAGACAGGACAGGGTTAGAGTTGCACTTAGCACCCAGGTGGTCAAGCACGGGTTGGTTTTGCTAATATATGGTATAGTACAAGAGACCAAGAGCTAACCGGTATAAGCACGCAGGGAGGTGGCTTCGATGGGCTGATCAAACATAAGTATTGACGGGAGTGGGAATTCCAAAATGACGGATTAATTATTTGGAATTTGTTGGGTGAGTTGGATGGCATCATAATCCAAGCGAGAAAGTGGGTCTAAGAGATGTGTTCCCCGGCCCCCAGGCACTGCTTCTGGACATCGAATCACTGAACTCGCCACTTAAAGTCCTAGAAAAGGCGTGCAAATTTGTGGAGCGTTATGTGTGCATTCGAAGTTGCATTAGATCTGATTGTTGGTTTATAGATGAGGACCGCCGTTGATCGTCGGATTAGTCTATGTATGGCTGGAGCATTATAGACAGCTACGAATATGTGTACGGGCCCGGCAGTTGCTATAAGTAGCCACGGCATGTGGCGTTGGTTACAGTTATGAGCATGATGGGCTAGCGTTTGTCGTTGGAATAGGAAATCACGCACTGTTGCGGTCTCATTTTTATCGGACCGGGTAGATACTGACCTGGCCCTTCCATGGGTAACACACATAAGCGACAGCGCGCACAGTTATGTATGACGAGCTGTTGGTGGGTGTAAGATCGGAATACCGTGTATAGCCTAGGCCTAATAATGAGCGTCACTCATGGGCACTAGCCTAGCGTAGCCAAGGTAGGCAATATCGTATATGACGATCGTCGTTCGGCGCTAGATTACGTTTATGTGCATAGTTGCGGCCTCGTCTTCATCGGTTTACATGAATATTGGCCTGGTGTCTAGTTTTAGTAGAAAAGATGAGCGACGCAGCGTACAGTATGTGTACGACGGATTAGTTTGGATTCGGTTACCGTGCATGGTCGACGCTCCATAATCGACGTTGCGCACGGACCTAATCGGTACGATAAATATCCAAGTTCGGCGAATTCGAGTGCAGTTACGAATATAACAGACCAGAATAGGCTATCACACATAGTTGAGGCCTTATTTTTCAACGGGCCGCATAGATAATGGCTTGATGTGTACTATAGGTGGCAAAGATAAGCGGTATCACATACAGTTATGGGTATGACGTCCGTTAGCATCGCACGGGAACACGGACCCAGCATTTACGACAAGTAGCTGAGGAGAGAAAGGGGCCTTCATCAGCCTACCCGCCGACAATGGATGCTCTTATTCGCCACTGCTTATTTGCGCTTGATGACATATTTCACCTGTGGAGTGTAATATTCTCAATACGAATGATATTACCGTGTTGCAGCCATCTCGTGATGCTGCATTGTCCACGGGCCAATTTGGCATATCTGGAAAAAGGGGTCATCTACAAAGATGTGTTTTGCACTGCCAACGCACAATTTATGCGTTTGTCTAACAGCGTCCTACTTAACGGACTCTGAGCTCCACCAGAAAATGCGTCGTGAAGAAATTCGCTGAACAAAATTCCCACTTGTAAAATCCGAGTAGTATAGAGCAAACAAATTTCAATAACTGACTTTTCTGGGTGGAATTTGCATTGGATATAATGCGGGCGTCATTCCGTTCCTAAAGAACACCACAGAAGTCCGATATTGGCTAGTGTGATGTCGTGATCTGTCTTTCGTAAACGGGTAGAAAATGCGAATCGGTGGTGGTCCGTGACCTCGAAATTTCGATCACTTAAACAAATGCTATGAGCGATATACCACCGAATAGACAGACAAACAAACAAATTCGAAAGCCCTATAGTTGCGGCGAAAATAATTCGGGTGTGCTTCTGGTCCACAGACTCCTATGCCATACCGCAAACGTGTATGTTTCTCTAACGAACTCCAAACGTACTCGCTATGCAGGACAATGTCGTCGTCACTGGGATTCGGTATTGCCCAGGAAACACTGACTGATATTCGTGCCCCATCCATCTATGACGATACGAATAATACGTTTATTTCCCAGCTCTTCATTTGTGCCGTACAACCGCCGTATTCCTACTTTTGCGTTTGGCATCCGTCGTTCACCATTCCTAGAAACATCGACACCCCTATACTCCTTTTCCACATCTTACATGTTTGCACTATTTCTGTCGAACGTTCACCAATTTCGCTCCGTTTGCCAGCAAAATCTTCAAAATCTGCAACACTAATGCTCTTACCAATCTTCCCTGTCCACTGTCTCCAAGCGTCTAGTGGTGTCACAAGCCGCTCCGATCTCGCAGGATGTAAAGTTGTTGAAGCCTCTGCTTCGTCCCACAATAACTTCGGTGCAATTAACAGACCACTTGAAATATGCCCAACCCTCATTCGCACAACACTGTACAAAATCGGGCATCCTATGTCCCGCCCACGTATGAAGCAGACGTAGCACTTTTTAAAAACGTAGGACGAAGCTGATAACTGAAAGGTCAAGTGTAACAAGTGCCTCTGGGGGAGACCTGGTTCGCAATAGTGGCGATTCTAGAAATAGTATCAGGAAAGTCGGCTTCCTGAAAGCAACCACTGAATGCCCGAAAACTACCGAGACTCTCAGGTCCGCTAGATGTTAACCAGATAGACAACGCTCCCTCAATATGCAACCCCTCACAGCCTTGTATCAAACCCAGACAGCGCGAGTCAGCGTTGATCAAGGTCAGACAACGCCCCCGCAATATGCAGCACGTCGCAGCCCATGCATGTGCGTCAGCATTGGACCAAGTTCAGACAGTGTCCTTCCAATAAAAATTGGGGCCGTTGTACTTTTCGCACTTGCACGCACTCACTCTCTCCCACCCACTTTGTTGGAATATAGCTGTTGTGTTCCCTTCCGTGAGTCTTTTCTCTCAGGCACTAGGCACTGGAGCGAGTCAGCAGCAGGTATCACAGGCCGGCGAATCAGCAGATATAACAAATAGATTACATTTTCTGGACTTCTTTTATTTTCGCCTTGGATTTTCTTTACTTGAAGTATGAAATCTCTATCGAGGCAAATATCATTGGAGATTCTTAGACAACCTTGCCACACTATGCTTACCTTGAGTTTCTGATGTTCACTTGGATAAGCAACATCTGTTGTGGATTCACCTTGATATGGTTAGCATACGATAAGCCGCGAAAATACCTACAATTAGGGACAGCTGGGGATATCTATGACCTTGGGATAGAAATTCGTCGTACGCGTAGATCCTAGTTACTGAGCCAGATTTGTCGCCGCAAAGACTAGCGAAGAGTGTAGGTTGCGTGGCTTCATCGCTGACGTGTAATTGTGGTAACTGTAACCAGGAGGCTGAGCAAACGGTCCCGTACTTTTATCTTAAGCCGGCTTATCCACTGAAGCAAACCTAGCTTGCTCCTACCAGTAGGTAGTTTCGAAAAATAGGTCCACTTTTCACCCCATCCAAAAAGAATCTTGCCTGAATGACATGCTCAAGTCACAATAATATTGCATTTTCTATTCCCGTTGCGGTACCAGAATTACGGGTGATTTTCGGCAGTCAACCATTATTGTAGCAGTTATCCAGGGAATTTTAAAACAGACACCCGTTTGTATACTTCCAAGCAGAAGCTGCATACTTGTGGACGCGTGTGAAGTATTTTCTTCATTTGTCTAGATAATCGGAAAAACGGCCGGGTCTCTGAGAAACGTTGGGTGTCACTGCGATTATTGAAGGTTGTCTACCCTTTGAAATAAGAAACGCGCATCAGTACACGGTACATGTGCCGCGGAGGCATTTTGAAATGGCAGTCATGTGCAGCGGATTCCTTGGCAAGGTTGAACGGTATGGAGACACAACGTAGTGGGGTAAGATAGTATGACCTAACGTTTCGGTCCTTTGTATGTCACGTAATGATTTTATGAAAGATCAGCTGGTTCTAAGCTGTTATTCAGTGTCCTCAATTGTCCTTGATAGTGGAGAGAACTAGACATATCTACTTGAATAATTTCATAACACGCGGGCTAAGCCGCGTTTGATGAGAAATTCGAAACAATGTTCGCATTGCTTTTCCGGCTGACCACCAGTTCAGTTTCGAACTTTGGTGCTCCTAGGGTACGGAACAGCTGGGAGAACTTTGTTTTAGTCCGCCGGGTGACGAAATCACTCGCTTTGAATGTCCCAAAGATGTCCGCTACGGAGCAGATTCGCGCTTTGTTGGATGAGTTTATGGGCACAAGCCGTAACGGTACGTCTTTCCCTGAATTATTAACATTATGAAGCAGACTCTTTTAATTTGATATGGTGTTCAGGATGGTTTAGCGCCTGAATTGGTGTTATGTGACCACCGTCGGTTTTCCATTCTCAGTTTTGCTTCCCATCCGACCAGAAAGCCACAAACAACAATTAGAAGACGTTTACTGTTTCGTACAGTCCCCCGCGTTGGTTTTTTATTGCGTGGGCCGCGCAAACCTAGATTTTGAGGGCGAGGACAGTTGTACGACTTCCTCTCCTAGACGTTTAGCCGGTATCATTTGGTGCCTTCATAAGGGTGTAGCTTGTTTCTGGTTCTGAGCGACATTGCATGAAAATGGGTTGGCCGTCCTAATGCACACTGAGGGCATCACATTGATGGAGGCGATACCCATCTCTGATTACTAGGGTGCGCCTAAATTTCGCGCCTTACTGAGTCGTGGTAAACACGAGTGTGCACACTAGGAACAGAAGTCCTGTTGAATGCAAGCTTTTTTTCAACTCGTCGCCAGCTCTGCTACCGAGAAATTGATTCGCTGGCACGGCGAAAATTTGTTTTGCTTACTTTTGTGGTTGCATTAAAGTGTAACCCCCCGCCTATTAGCTCATTCGTCCATTTTTTGTGGGTTGAGCTCTGTCCCCTTGGTGACCTTTGCGTTTAGAGTACTGTACTGTACCCAACTTTGGATGCTTTTCACCGACACTCCTGTCCGGGTTGGTACTCTGGCAACTATCCATCTCCAGGTTGGACCTCATAGCACCAAGACGGGACCGAACTGGAGTTGAGCCATGACTTCTGCTCGTGTTCCCACGTGCCGGTCGTTGTCCCAATGCTTCCAAAGTCTCGTCGCCATGCACAATCATATCGGGTCCCAGTGCTATATTTTCATCCATCTACCCCATATTCGGGACACTTCCAAGCGTTTCACAGGAATTGACATTTAGTGTAACAACGGCTGACCCTGGAGTTTCGATGTGCGCGAAGAGTAGCTTATTATTCCATCGTTTTCTTGGTCGTGGAAGCCGAATTCATAGTCTGACGGGCAGTTTGGTGATTGCACCCTTTATAAGGTGACTTGATGCTCGCTTTAGTTTGATTTGTACCATGCTGACCATCGTGGGATCAACAGTTGCGAGTTGCAGTTAACGCCCAGTGATTTCTTGGCCCGTTCGAGCAGAAAGCCCCAACTTCCACTGCGTACCCTTAGTGGCATTCAAGGTTCTATGTTGTTTTATCCTCCACACGATTTTGTCATCAATGTGATGATGGAAAACTCGCCTCCAGGCTCCGTCGCCTGTGGTGTCGAAGTGCTTTCAGGTGACTCGTTCATGAACGTCGAGTACGCAAGCGGTGTTGTTCACGGATCTGGTTATATCAACTTATAGCCAATATCGGATAACGTAGGTAATTAGGCGCTGTGGTTTTTGGAATATTATTCACTTGCAAATTGCTGCTGGGAGACTGAGTTGGACGAGATTAAGGAGTCGTGCTTTCTGATGGACCACTTCCGTTAGTAGACTAGTTTGTTCACCTGGCTGGCTATTGATCCATGTGCGTCCCGTTATTTCGCTAGGTATGAGCGCAGGTAACTTCGGGGTAGTGGATTTGTATTTTCAGGATCTGCCTCTTCATTCCCGCGACGACAATCCGAACATTGGAGCGGGCTATTAGCATATGAACAGGTTCACTAATTTTTTTGTCAGTGTCTCCGTACACACCGTTTGAACTCCAATTCCTTTTGTCCCTTCTGCTTTCTGGCGTTTGTATTAGACTCTCACTGTTGGCATGCATGGACGCTCGTATCATTCTTCAGCCGCTTGTCTGTTCATTGGGTTTCCAAATAACTGCACTGACTTTTCTAAACTGATGCGGATTGGTCTCAAAAGGCCTACGTTTACCCTGAAACCACGTCATTTCGAGGGCGACCATTCTTCCACCGTTGCGGCATCAACCCTTGGAAGTTTGTTCTCTAAGTATCATCTCTACATAGATTACAGCGTATTAGCAATCATAGCACTAGCTGCGGATAGTGTCTTCGTATCAAAGTTTTGCAGATCCTGTGAGTCCGATGAATGTTGAGTCGAAGTGGAAAGCCCCCTTTTGTGGAGCAGTCAGAGAAGCGATCAATATGCCGTGTGATTCTACGTATTTCTGCCAGTTCAAGGAGCAGGGTCTTCACTTTCGCCAGATATTGACGGCAGCCATCGATCCTATTATGTATATGGCCGAATGAGATCGTTCTTGATGGCGTCTGATTTCAAAGATCACCTGCTGTTTGCCTCCCCCGGTGGCCTATGGTAGTAGAATGCAAAGTGGATTGTGCGACTACCATATCTTCCAGGTTGCAACGTATATATGATTAACTATGCTCGGTTGGACTCTTAAGTCAGTTGGTATGGTTGAAATTCTGAGCTGCTCGTGTACAATAATCAGTTAATCTATCAACCGATGGACATAACCTTGACCTTGCCAATAATGGTAACATAGATGTCGTATTCAACGACCCTCAGATCAGAATCAAGTGACCTGAAGCACCAGTGGCATGGCAGCTATGCAACGAAAAGGTGGTTCGGCTGAACAATTTTATTATCAAGGGAGGCTTCGCTAGCACCATTTTATCCCGCTTGAAAACCCACGTTTTAGCAGTACACTCAGGGTGGTCTCAATACTACCGACAAGCTGACTAGAGTACTTACTATAAGCTCCGTTTGTGGCCATACTTTTATTTGGTTCCGATGATTGTTGCCCCTGTAAGCTGCCGCTGCTAATTTCGTCGTTAGTTGTCATGCCACAGTAGAAAGCAGGGCTAGTGATATTAGAAAAATAATCGGATGTGTTGCGGACGTTCCAATGCAGCTCGCAGATTACATGAAGCAAGCCTTTTTCAGGTTTCTGGGAGGATTTCAGGCCTTGAATATACATGAGTATTTACTACTCGAATGAGTTCGATGTTTAGGACAATATCTGGATGATGCTGTGTTAGGGGCACCAGTGATTTGTGATGTACCATATGATGATATATCATATGCGCAAAGATATGGTCATCTACACCGGCTGGCTAAACCGCCTGCTACGTCCCACCGGCCCTGTTTCTTCATGCCGACCTACAGTACGCAAGGTAAAGCGGCATAACAATCGTTGAAAACTGCTGAAAGTACTGGGGTATTCTACACTCCGTGTTTATGAACGCGAACGCTGAGATGCCCATAAGATATACTCAGATGCATTTTTTTTGGTTTAAACATCTTAAACGAGAAAACTTGTAGATGCAGCTTAGTATGCTTACGATAACTCAGTGGTTGAGGCGGAAGATCCGCGGTCTCTGCATCTCGACCATTCTTAGTTAGGCTTGGATAACCTGACAATATTTCAGCCCTCGTGTTTTCTTGTGGCGTGGCAGCTAGACACCGAAACGGTGTTAAAGGCTGAACGATACTTACGAATTCGTCTCATCATCAAAGACAGCAACATCAGTGTTGGCACTGGTGCTTCACTGCCCTACAACCATAAGGTTCGTCTATTTTATATATATATATATATATATAATTGTGTTAAAAGCCCTACAGAGAAGAGAAGAGAAAAGGGGTGGGTGAGGGAGAGGACCCAGTGCTCGCCTATGTCAAGCAACCGTTCATTCAGACAATCTGGAAAGAAACTGACAGCAAAAACGCCACTGACATCGATCAGCCGCCATTTCTTGCAACGTCTCCAGCCAAGCACAGACGGGGTCACGGGGACCCCATCCTGGAAGACGTACACCACCAACAACACCCAAACTCTTCGTGATCTCTTTCACGCCTTTCTGCTGAGTCACGTGCTGTCCACCTCGCGGTTTGCGCCATCCTGAAGCAGGCAAGTAGAACAACACTCGTCTCGGTAGATGGTGTTTCGGCATGCGTAGCACATGACCGATCCATCGTAGTCGATGATGCTGGATGTTTTCCCGGACTAAGGTGCCTGCAGCACAACCAAATACCCGTTTTCTAATCAACTCGTTACTAACAAGCTCGCACCATCCAAAACCAGCCACGCTTCTGAGGCATCGGTGGTCGAAAACCTGACGGTGCCTCACATCCTCTACCCGCAGAGTCCATGTCTCGCACCCATACAACAACACAGTCCTCACTGTAGCCTGGTACACACGACCCTTAAGATCCAGTGGAATGCCGTTCTGACGCCACAAGTGACGCAAATTAGCAAATGTGATTCGAGTCTATGAGATTCTTGCACTGACTTCATCAGACACACTTCCGTCAGAGCTAATACAACTACCGAGGTATGTAAAGTTTTCCACAATCTCCAGTGGTTCCCCTTGAACTGTAAGGGATATGTTCGAAGATGGCACGTTCTGAAGCAGGACTTTGCACTTTGAAGGTGCAAGGCGCATGCCAAAATAATGGTATGATGGCGGCCAGTTTATTCAACAGGGCTTGTGCTTCGCTAAGGTCTTCAAAGATGAGGGCGATGTCACCTGCGTACTCCAGATCGACAAGGCTCTCGCCAGCAACAATTTGAACACCGGAGTTTTGGAAACCGTCCAGTGTTCGCCTCATTATTTCATCGATGACGAAGTTGAACAAGAATGGGGAGAGTGGACATCCTTGTCTGACACCACTTTTTGTAGGAAAGCTTTTGGAGAACTCACCATACACCCTCACCTGCCCAGAAGTATGTGAATATAGAGATCGGATTATGTTTACAAACTTCTGGGGCATACCCTGTTGAGCAAGTGTAGTTAACAGAACTGATCGATCAACAGAATCGAACGCACCCTTGAAGTCAGGGAATACCAGGATTGTGGGTCGTCTGTACATGTGGCGTTGCTCCAACACCTGACGGAGTGTGAATATGTGGTCAGCGCAGCCTCTACCCGGTCGAAATCCCGCTTGATTCTCACGAGTCAAGACTTCGCGTGCCGCCATGAGACGAC